CCAGATACTCCTTAGCCTCTCCACTTCCTCCTTCAGCTCCACCACCAGGCAGAGCAGATCATCCACCTGGTCACATCGCACACAGGTGTCGTCTCTGCCTCCCTCCACTACAGCCGACAGGCTCAGGCACTCCCTGCAGCCAGAGACCTGGACAGCTGAGTGTTTGCGCGAGGCCTCTGTCCGGGTCGCCACATTCCTTCTGGCAACGGCTTTTGGTTGAGTAGACACCATGGCCGGTCCTCTTCTGGGAGGGCGACGACTACCAGTTGAGTTGGCCGCTAGAGCCAGGAGGGGGACGCAGGACCCAGGGCTCGCCTGCCCCGCGCGCCCTGCCCCGCGCGCCCTGCCTGCGCGAACTGACGCGAGTTGTACTGGCCCACATTTAAGTGGCTGCAGAACTGAGTTTTGCCCCTCCCCCCTTTTTTTCTTTTTTACTTTTGCACTTAGCAGACTTCTACCTTTCCATGTATATTACAATTGGTATAGGAAAGGGCCTCTTTACTTGACTTATATTCTGATTTCCATCATCACAGCAATTTATCGATTGGAGTGTTTAACTCATGCATTTTCTTAAACACTGTAAGTGTTTTTACATTTCATCTGAAATCTAAGTTAGGCCTCACAACCACTTTGTAAACTCAGAGAAGCAGCTATGGACCAGTAAATTCTCATGGACTGGCTGCACAAGCTGAAATTTGTTTTTTTTTTTTTTTTTTTTTTTTTTAACTTTTTCTGTATGGTAGTTGAGAATCTTCAAGCAGTGCGGTTCTGAACCTGCCAAATGTCTTAAAAGCCAGGCTACATATGGATCTTTTTCTTTCTTGCTAGGATATATTCTGGCTACAGGAGTTAAGTAGAGAAACAGTACTATGTCCCTAATGAAATGTGCTTTCTCATATGAAAATGGAAGCATTCTACTCAACGTAAATATCTGGTCTTCACTGCCTATGCATGCCATCTAGGAGCAAAGGAGTGAGCACTGAATGGTTGACAAATATACTATGGAACTACTTCAACACACTCATTTTTCAAGAGTTAACATTTTACCTTTTTATGCAAGTAACATGCTTAATAATAGGAATAATGTCATAGGAAAGTTATAATTTACTCATAGATTTATCACTATTTCAAGTACATTAAAAAAACAGGTACTATACTTAAGTTTTTAAACAAAACAATACTAGAATCCATTATCTCTGGAATGGATCACATTCGTTATATTCAGGAGTACTCACTTCTCCACCCAGAGTACAGAAACTATTTTTACACCCATCTTCTGTGCTTTTCTCCATGTAGCCAAACGTCCATCTTTGAAGACTACATGGGTCACATGCTTGTTCAAAGTTTTTGAAACCTGCAGAAGTACACAGAGAGCTCATCTTTAAGTCTGATAATCAGAAAATGCTAATGAAACTAGCTAGCGGAGTCTGTTTTTAATGTATAAACCATTAGCGTAAAAACTTATTCTAAACATTATGCCAAGGACTCTTTTGATCTTTTCGTCTTCGCAGGAAGCCTCAAGCAATCAAAACTCAAGTCTCATTAGTCAAGCCAATGCAACTGGCTAAAGTAGCCTTTTGTTTTCAAACTTCTTTTCTCTAATTTATCATTTTCATCTCCCTACTCTAGCTGTATCACTAATCTTACAACATTTTTGTTTATGTAGCCCAACATAATTTCTTATACAATACCCAGTACAGAAAGTAGTTGCCACTATCCAAAGAAATGCCAAATTACATTTTTTTATTTAGCAAAGAACTCACAGGCTTAAAGAATACAGCTAATCTCATCCTTTAAACTAATTCTCATCAATAAAGATCACTTAGTTTTGAGGGAAGGCTGAAGCTACTACAAACAAAAAAATTTATATGGGAACACTTTAAAAAGTGAGAAATACAGAAAACTTAAGTCAGTACAACTAATATCATACCTGACATTTTCATTGCATTGTACAACTGATCAAATCTTCAGTTATCAGCCTTTACTGACAACTAAGTGATAACATTTTTAGTTCTAGATACTCCATTCTTCACAACCAAAGTTTCCTTTTGTGGAGACTAAACATCCTACACATAAAACTGTTTGTTAAGTTGTTGTGAATGTTGACATGGTGAGATCAGTAGAATTCATATTTTACAGCAGCATCTTCTCAGCACAGCCAAATGGAAATAGCTGTGTAGCCTTCTGGTGTGCTCTCAATTGCATCACTATACTTGGCTCCCAACACGTTGGATCTACATTTGGCTTTAAGAAAACTATTCAGCTTTTCAAAAGATTTCTGGTGGCAAGCTGATTTATTGCTTCTTGGAAGACAAAAACCCATGATATTTAAGTATCTAGGTATACAGGACCAATGAATCTCTTTCAGAATAAGTTATGACTCCAGATACAATTGCTTACTCGCTTATGCTAGTATCCGGCTCACAGCCCACGTTCTAAGGAGACAGATGCTTGATATAGCTTTGCCTCCAAATTATGGAGGAGCACCACCTTAAACCTCCCTCTCACCTCTCCTGTCTCCTCCCTTACCCTGGACGTCCTCTGCTGCTCACCTGACCTTAGCTTGAGATGTCTGAATCAACAATATAGTGAAAAACTAATTTAGAATTTTCTTTCCTGACAGAGTGAGCCAAGGCAGTTTACTATCATGTGCTCAGCCCAGTAAAAGGGAAGGAAGTGTCTGGAATATTGAAGGGACAGGACCGCCCCTTTTCAGTCATAGCTATCTGCTAAATAGGCTCATCTGTGTCATCTACCTATACCTCTCACCATATCCAGCCACTTTTTGATCAAGTTGAGGAATTTTGAGCCTTATGCTTTGTCATATTTTCTGTGAGAAAAGCCTAACATCATCAGAATTCCATAGATCTGATAGTACAGCACAAAAGAACAAGAAATATTTCTTACTCAAATTATTTATGGCGAGTTGCATTTCCTTTCATAATAAAGCCAGTTATTCTACTGTTCTGTCACACTATCTCAGCTAAATTCATACAGAAAGGGAGGCTTTGGGGAGATTAGCAAAACTTCCTAAATTACAGTAAGATACACCTAAATGTGGCCACTTAAAAAGCACGTGGAGTTCATGCAAGTGTTATTTAGAGCATGATGTGGGCTGTAAAAATCTCCATTAACTGGTAATAATGTGCAAGAAGGGAAGATGCCAGTTTGACTTTGGTCTTTGATTGAAATTTTACAGCTGTCAATTAAACATATTTTGCACCTACAAGTCAACTGTACTTGATATGGAAAAAATCACTGAGACATCTAATGTCTCTTAGATGTATTTTTACTAGCACTTTCTGGAGTTGAACCACATTTGTAGGAGAGCGAATGGAAGAATAAAATGTCATGGTCCTTGGGTTAGAAAATATTGTAGTAACAACAGAGCAGCTGCCTACAAGTTAAAGAAAACAAAACAACACAAGGTACATGTAAACTACAGGTTTTCAACACTTAGATTTGGTTTGCCCACGGCATGTGGCAAGCCCAATACTTCACAACAAATGCATGCTACCATATTAATGTACAAAGAGGTTTATAGATATAGGGAAGCTTTAAATGCATTTCCCATCTGTCAATAAGAATTTTACAGCACGTTTGTCTATTCTCAGGTCTGTGATTATCTTCCTTCCTGCACTTTAAAAACTCATACTGTGAAGAAATATACATGACAAGCAGAACAAGCAAGCTGGTTTGCAATTAAGAGCTTTCCTATTCTATTTATTTCAAAATAGTTTCCTTACTTTTGCTCCCATATCAAGAAGTTGCTGTTCAAAGGTTTTCGAGTAATTTTCTGTTCTGTTAGATGACCAAACTTCCACAAATGCAGATATATCTGGATCAGAAGAGAAAAAACAACAAACAGCTGATGAAGCATATACTACGGTAAAACTGGTTAAACTGCCTTTCCAACAAAATTTTGCCTTTCTACATATTGTATTTGGTAGCAAGTATAGCTTTTAATAATCAAAGTATCACATGTTTGCAGCAGAATGTTCTTTTTAGAGTATTTCAGTCCCTTAAATTAGTTGTAATGGAACAAACTTAGGGGTTTGCCACTAATTACACAACTTTTCACTTGGTCTATTTAAAACACACTACCAGCTTAACAAGCAATGCAGTATCTTTATGTGACTGCTTACCCTTATCATTGATCACTGCTAATCTTCAGGTTAATCAAAAATTTTTGGACAAGTTGATGTAACACAAATTACAGAACATAATTAAATAAATGTAATGGAATTATTCCTTCCCCAAACCCCCAAAAACTCTGCAGAAATCTTACTTAACCATTTCCAATTGACTTAAAATTCCACCTTATTTATACTGAATCACCCCAAATTGAGTACATATCACAGGGGCTAATACAATTTCATGTCAGCTGCTTTATGTAACTTTAGGTATATCGCATTTAAAGTCGCTTCCTTTATGAACCAGATTAATAATCTCTTCAAGGAATGAAGTCAGCCTTGGTTGAGAAGGTCTTTAAACAAACAAACAAACCCAGATGTAATGACATGGAGGGATAAGCAAATCAAACTCGTAACAATCCCTTCATTAATTTTACTTAGGACAGGCACTAAAGTGACCTACAGCTCCATCGGCCATACCAATTGCCCATTCTGAATGATGAATCAGGGAAGTTCCAGAAAACTGGAGGAATGCTGGTTCACCAAAACCAACTTCACACAAACTGCAGGCCAGACAACTCTCAGAACTCATGAATAAAATTGAAAGGGTCAATTTAAAAGGGCCATCCTTGGCAAACATTGCTTAAGTATCTTAGTTTACCTGTTACTACGTATGTCCCTCTGATTCATTATTATGTAGTGTCTATCTGTCTTCTTTCTAAATGAAAACCAGAATAACACTCCAACAGTAGAAGTACTTTTATAAAGATTGACATTTTTATAATCACTAGAAATACTTTTAACATACAAGAGAAATATGGAACATAAAACACCTCCTTAGCCAAACCACAGGGAAAAGTCTTATTAGCAGTACCCTGACTTCAGATATACATGGGAACTTAAGACAAGTCTACTCCAATGCGCTTTTAATTGTGTTCATTCTACTACTGGACCAGGGCAGCTTTTGCCAGTTGCTTTTTTTCTTCATTGCTCTACTGTGAAAAATATTGCACTCGCATTCGAAAAAACAATACTTTCCTCTTACATCAAATATTTTAGAACCTTCATAGTTACAATTCTCCCAGAAAAACAGGTTAGAGGATTTCAGTGAAGGTCAAACTAGGAACTTAAAGGAACATTACTTCAAAGCTGCATGCACCTGCAGTAGGATCAAAGGTGTATTTTACAATAATTAGCCAATTTTAGCTAATCAAATATACTGCAACAAAAGACAAGGCACTTTGTAGTTCTTGTACAGTGGATGGAAAGGAAAATGAGGGAGGGTTTGGAGCTTTTTTGAACTAGAAGAGCTCTGAGTAGAGCTCGGTTCTTGTGAAGGGCAACTCATGCTACAAGATCTCAGAGAAGGCGGTTACAGTGGGGAAAATAGACGTCAGAAGGCCACCTAGCGAGGCAGAAATTTAGAAAGGTGTAGAAGAAACCAGACAGGATCAAGGCATGACCGACCAGGACAGGAAGAGCGAGCCAGACACCGATGCGTGGCGGCAGAGCAGGGTGGTGGCGGTGGCGTACCGGGAGCCACCCCAAGGGGCAGTCGTTCCCTCTCCTGGCCGAGGGGCCCTCCTTGTTTCCAGCCCTGCCCACCCCATCGGCCACACACCCC